ACCCGTCACCCAAGACCTGTTTCCCTTGGGAGACCCTACCAGGGACATATAGCCCCTGACAACATAGCTCCTAGGATCACTTGGGTACTCAAACCCCTCCACCACAATAAGGTGGCGGTTCAAGGAGGGGATAATTATAATTATAAAGAATAGGTAAATAATATTGTAAATACATTTTATTATTGTGCTTCTCTTTTTAGCTGGTTGGTGGTTTTGTGTATGCGTTGCTCGTTTTGCATATCGTTTTGGCTGTTTTGCAGGCATCTATTTGTTTTTGATTGACCTTTGAACATGAAATGTTAAGTTGCTTCATGCAGAGGCTTCTGATCCAGAGGTGCCTGATCCATTGGGCCCCTGGACCTGTGCACTGACCTGTTCAGCAGTTTGCTTGCTCCAAACCAGTGTGGTAGTGGGAACAGTGTGGAGTTCTCTGCCTGACTGGTAAAGGGGCAGTCCCTTTATACCAAAGTGATACAATACACATCTATAAAACTCATACCGTTGTCTCACATCTAACAACTTGCATACCTTCTCCAACTGCCTTTGATGTCTGCATCTCCCCGCGACCAGACAGCCAATTCACATTTTAACAAAGACAAGTTGGCTTGTTTTGCACTCACACACTGACCCACTTAACATATTACAAGTTCTGCTTTATCTTGGGATGTCCTGCAGAGACCGGGGGCTCACATCCTGAGATGACCACCTGGCCAGTTTAACATACAAATTAACATCACACACACACACACAGACACCCGGTGTAGATCACATTCCAGCAAGGAGGTGTGAGCTCCGGCTCACCAAATGACCAGACATCCACTCCTACTCTATGTGAAATGTGATCTTCTTTCCTACAGTTCTGATGGACAGTTGGTGGCACGCTACCATAAACAAAATCTGTACTTTGAGAAGGAATTCGACACACCACACCCACCTGAGATCATAACATTTGATACACCATTTGGTGGTACATTTGGCCTCTTCACCTGCTTTGACATCCTGTTCCATGAGCCTACAATTACCCTGGTGGAGAAGGTAGGAGAAATACAAACACATAGCTACATACAGTGTCTTCACCTCCTCCTAAACTCAGCCTCTTTGTTTGCTCCACTTTAAGGGTGTGCGTCAGTTAATCTTCCCCACAGCCTGGATGAATGCGCTTCCCTTGCTGGACTCAATCCAGTTCCAATGGGCATTCAGCCTGGGTGCTAATGTCACCCTACTAGCGGCTAACACTCGCAATGACCAACTGAGGATGACAGGCAGCGGTATCTACACTCCTTTTTCTGCCACCTACCACCACGCTAAGAAAGGAGACCCAGAGGAGGGCAGACTGCTGGTGGCCAGGGTGCCAGTCTTGGAGAACGGGGTGGTTAGGAAAGAGTCCAAATCATCACCAGCTGCAGACTCTGAATACTGTCACCAAGATAGTTGTTCTGATTCTGCAGTCTCTCCCTCCTCCCCCACTTGCATCTCATCCATGATGTCTGACCCATTTACATTTGACCTTCTGAACGACACGAGGGGCAATCTGACGGTGTGTAACGGCACTTTCTGTTGTCACCTGCAATACCAGCAGTTATCACAAGGCAACAGTAAAGAGCTTTATGCACTGGGAGCATTTGCTGGAAATCACAAAGGGAAGACCGGCTTCGCCTTGCAGGTATCAATCTGGTGATATTTGAATATTTAAAACTGATTACCGAGATATCAGATGCATTCATCTCATCTCTGTCTACAGGTGTGTGCATTAGTCCGCTGTGCAGGGTCGAACATCAGTTCCTGTGGACAGGAGGTGGAGGCGGCTGAGACTAAAATAGTCTTTGTGTTGGAGGGCAAGTTTGGGACCAGATATGTTTACCCATCAATACTGGTTAGCAATCTGGTCCTGGAGCAGCCAGAGCAGCTGGAGAAGACTGAAAGTGGAAGAGTGACCATGAAGCATTCAAACATGACTGGTGGTCTGGTCACTGCCTGCCTGTATGGACGAATGTACCACCTGGACAATGAATAAATTACTTTAGAGAGAGAGAGAGAGAGAGAATAGCTGTGAAAGAATGTACAGCTCTGAACAAAACTAGTAATGACAATTCAAGTGTTACACATTTGGACTCTGTCATATACATGTACAATAAATCAAAAACATATCTTTATTCATTCATTACTTAATCTTTACAAACATTGCACCAAGTAGTGTTCATCGTTTGCCTAAAAGTTGCTTGTCCTAAAAAGATTTATTACATTTGTCTCACTTGCTGTCACACGCACACACATATGCACAGTGTCAGTCGCTTTCCCGTCTCCAGTACAGTACAGATATCAAGTAGTTACAGCACAGCACATTAAAAGTTCCTTGAGCTGCTGCTCATTTGCATGACTAACCAGTGGGTTTCAATCCACCTGGTGTCAGGATGGATTCCACACATTCAGTCTCCACTCGGAATAAATTCATAGGATTCAATAACGGCTTCCTCTGGAATCAACGAGTGGTTCAAAATCAACAGGGCAGCATTATAAATGTGCCATTAGTGTCTGCCATGATAGCTTGGTGAAAAACTCTGAATAAAAACTCCAGAATGAAGTAGAGAAAACAGTAATCAGCTGGTCCCATAAGACTGTTCCTCTTTTTTTCTTTAGCCAGTGGTGCCAAAAATCAGTCCTTTGAGGTTTTATTCAGTAGATGCTCTTCTCGTAATAGTTGAAGGAAAAACTGAAAAGGCTTAAAACCACTCCAAGTATGAGCAAAACGGAGGAGCTTTGGTTAAAAAGAAAATTGCTATTTCTTCAAATTTAAAAATACACTGGCCATTACTGACCATACACTGGTGCTCTCAGAAAAATGTAATGTATTGATCTTATTCTATATTTTTAGTATTAATTTCTTCCTCTGGGTATACACCTTACAGAAATGCAAGTCTGGCTTACAACAAGAATTATTAATAGATTTGGAGAGGCTTACTTAAAAATAACCTGGCTCTGTTTCTCCCTCCTCAGTGATCTATTAAGGCTCCTGAGTAGCTGGCTGTCCTGCCAGTATTATTGGGCGCTGTCCAGTACTCCTTAGTACGTTTCTGAGTCCGAGTCATTCAGCTCTTCGTCTGCAGAAACAGAAGACAGTGGGTGCTCTGGCCTACAGTAAGAGGCATGACTGGGGCTCAGCGGAGGTAGGGTGTCAAAGGCCACACCCTTGGAGATGTGGTTGGAGGTGGGGTGGTGGTTGGTGACTGCTGGGGTGAGAGAAAGTGCTGGTAAAGCTGCTATGGTGACCATGGGGGAGGCAGGCATCATGGAGTTGAGGATGAGGGCCAGGCAGTCAGCTACATCACGGTTTGGAGCGCAGGCCAAAGCTGGAGTGTAACCTAGAAATAAGGTTAAGGATTAAGAAAAAGTTTAAATTCTGCTGTAGAAGTATACGTATGTGTGAAAGTCAGGTTTTAATGAAACGTTAGTATCAAAGTAATTCACTGATAGCTGTCAGTACATAGCAAAAGTGAAGTATTAATAACAAATTTGGCATACTTAGTGTTCCAAAACATAAACAAATATAAATTAAACAGGGGCCTCAAGGTTGTTGCCTACAGTTCAACTCACTATCTACATGTACTGAGCAGGAGCAACAAGACACAACAAACAATCAAACACTGGTCAGGTTGAT